CATGGCACATCATGAGGCCTTCTCTCCCGGGTCGCCATCCCGCTCTTGCTGCTCGATCCACCGCTGGCGGGCACTCCTACCGTCCTTCATCTTGGGGTCCTGCCTGGCCCTCCTGTTCCGAGGGTCACGTTGGGCCTCCTCCTTGGCCCTCTGCTGATTCCACATCTCGTCACTCGCTGCAAATGCAATCTTCGGTATCTTAAACGTCGCCGCTTGCTCTGGAGTACATGGCCAGATGAGAACGTTAACCTGAGGACCTTCCACCATGCCCATCACAGGCCCCCCCCTCAGCCCTCACAGATGGTTGCTCGAAAGCCTGTGCCGGGAGTGGTAGATTCACAGGCTTGGCAATATCCTTCAGCTCAGCAATAACACGCACTACAAAGGAAACGCTTCCTGTCCTACTAAGCACGAGTGGATATTCCTACCAACCATTTGCCTCATTTCTTCCTCTTCAGCTTTCCCCTTCATAATCACGGCTTCAGTTCGATGCTTCTTCAGGAGGAGCTCTCGATGATGGAGGATCTTAAAAGTACAGATTACCCGCTAGAGACCCATAGGGTCATCTCACGTATCTCTGGAAGTCAGGCAGGGCTATCCTGCAGTTATACCGCATATACTTTATCTTCAACGATGGGTCAAAGCTGTAGAGGTCAGTCTGTTGCTTCTCCTTCAAAACTTCCTTCTGTCTAAGAAAACAGAAGAGCCCTTTGATGATAATCACACCATCACAGAGGCTCACTTGAGCTTGTCAACAATCTGCGCTTCCAAGTCACTCTTCCTCGCAATTCGGCATACAGGGGGCTGCTTATTGGCATTCACTAACACCTATGTAGCAGATCAACACAGGATCACGGCCATCCTCACCGTACCAAATCTAAAGATGCTGCCTTCGCCTGAGCCTTGGCTTCCTCTAGGTCCATCACCCCTATCGCGCTCCCATCCCTGCCTATCACATGGACCTACTACCAGAACTGGATCCTATATAAACAGCCGAGCCCTCACTTTAGGGAAGAGAATGTCATCGTTGGCTAGAGACCCTTAAAGCCCGACTCTGCCGTTACGAAAAGTC